TGCGTTGTGGTTACCCCTCCCCTCACACACCCAAATGCTCTGTCTGCCTCACCGCTATGCCATGTCACCTAGAACAGTGCTCAACACACAGCAGGTACTCAATAAATAATTGTGGAATGAATAAGCAAATGAGTTAACACAGAGGAAATAAAAGCTGGTTAAAAGCAGATAAGAACACACTGTCTCCTGATGTGCTGAATACAGCCCACCAACTCTTGTCTTCCAGTCTCTCTTCCCCAGACCCCCAGATACCCACACATGGCACACAGTTTGAAGCCTCTGGGTCTGGAAACTTGTGGTGTCTACAGTTTACACTGCTGAGCCAGTGCAGAGAAGTATGGGGGTGGCTGGCCTGGTTTCACAGCTAAGAGCACAGTGGACACTTGGGGACAAGAGAGAAGGTGTGACAGGGCAGTGTGACTATCCACCTCCTCTATCCCTAGGAGTCACAGAGGCATGCTGGGAAGTAGATCTGAAGGCACCATCTGCTACTAGGCAATGGACCCCAGGCCCGACACATAGATAACAAGTGAGCACCAAGGAAGGCCTCCCGCAGACAGCTGCAGACTGGGGACACAGGCTCACCGTAAGGGACAGGGCACAAATGCCTACTCCAGGCCACCCTCTGAGCCCAAGAGAAGTTAGGGCAAAATGACTGCAGGCTCTAGGGGCTGCCAAGGTACAACCATCAGGATACCTGTGGGCAGCTGCAGCCCTTTCACTGCCATGATCTTAGAGAAAAGGAGGCCAGAGTTTCTGCTGACCTCAGCCTCTGGGAAGAACATCAGCCAGTCTGGCAAAGCCTCCACAGCGGCCTCGGGGCCCTCAGGCAGTCCTAGAGTACTGAAGCAGAGGTATCTGCTGGGACCAGCCTGCAGCATGGGCGTCCAGGAGTCCTCAGCAAGGAAACAGCCCAGAGAGCCCAGTTTCCATGGGGTCAGGGAGATGGGAAAGGAAGGAAGGGCAGCAAGGAGGTCCCCTTATCCCATGGGACAAGAGGCTCGGTGTAGAGGGTCACCTCACTCAACTCATTCTTCTCCTGTGTGCGTGCGTGCATGTGTGTTTGAGACAGGATCTTCTATGTAGCCCAGGCTGGCCTCAAATTCATAGTCCTCCTGGTACCAACTTCCAAATGCTAGGATTACAAGTGTGCCATTAGAGCTGGCTAGACTAGGGCTGGCTGTTCTAGTCTACACTTTGCAAAGAGACTGCCTGGGATGGGTTTGCTATGTTTGCTAAGTTAGGGAGACCCTCTTCCCCTTGCATTTTGAATAAAGCAGAAAGAAAATGTTTGCTCAGGAGAACATCTGCACTCTCTTGGCCCTCCCAGCAGAGTCAGGCAGGTGAGGAGGGAATTGGCCATGGTGGAGACTGGGGGAAACTGGAGGGCAGAGTTTGTCCTGCCTGAGCTGCGATGTCACCCAACACAGCTGATTAGGCACAGGCCAGGCAGGTCTTCCAACAAGTCACAAGCCAGAAACCTACACTGCCACATAACAATCTAAACTCTTCCCAGCAAACCCTCCATAGGCCGACTACTGTTTCAGGCAGCAGGCAGCCTCTGAAACTAACTGTGGGACTCCTCAGGGACACACACTCCGCACTAACTTTCTGATCCCAGAAGTGGGGTCAGCAACTCCTTGGGAGGCAAAGACAAGGTGAGGTGCCTCTCACCAGGATTGGTCTGGAACTGTTAGCTCATCAACAATCACTCCACCCAGCCACCATTGTCTTGCCTGCCATGTGCGGGGTGGGCTAACGAGAGCCGAGACACCTGAAGAGAAGAGTACGTTGGAGTACTCCCCAAATGTGGGCCGTTGGCCATCTGGATTATGTAACTGACACTGGATGTTGCTGGCTGGGATCTCCTTCATGACCACTGTTGCTCACAGAACATATGCCTTATACGGCATATACTAGAAGCTGGCCTCCCATACACCAGCAAGCCCGTTGAGCCTGAGTGACTATCTCAGCCTGGGTGACCCCAAAGCGTGGCCTCACTTCTTTGCTTCTATCTAAGGGAGATACTCCTGCACCTGGCTTTGACCTACAGAGTGCAGCTTGGTGACACAGGACCTCACACACCAAGCCTGTAGTTTCCACCTGGGTCTCTCTCTCTCTTTATTTTTTTCCATTTTTTAAAATTTAAATTAGAGAAAAAGCTTGCTTTACATGTCAATCCCAGCTCCCTCTCCCTCCCTTCCTCCCCCAGCCCCCTTCAAGCCTCCCCCAACCCCTCACCCAATCCCCACTCCACTCTCCAAGGAGAGTGAGGCCCTTCATGGGGGATCTCCAAAGTCTGTCATACATCCTGGGGCAGGGCCTAGGCCCTCCCCCATGTGTCCAGGCTGAGACAGCATCCCTCCACGTGGAATGGGCTACCAAAGTCCATCTGGATGCCAGGGATAAATACTGATCTATTTATTGCCAGAGGCCCCAAAGAATGCCAAGGCCTCCTCACTGACACCCATGTTCAGGAGGTCTGGATCAGTCCCATGCTGGCCTGTCAACTATCAGTCTGGGGTCCCACCTGGGACTTTTGAGATGCTTGATCATTGGACATTGTCCCTAGTGAGCAGCCATCATACAAAGAAGTGGCCCCAGCCACCAACTGCTGTCAGCCAGCATTGTGCTGAGCTATTTCCCAGTGAAATGAATCAGATTTTTAAAAGTATCTTTTAATAATTTATTTAACTTTTATTTTATGTGAATTGGCATAAGGGTGTCAGAAGTCCTGGAACTGGAGTTACAGACAGTTGTGAGCTGCCATGTGGGTGCTGGGAATTGAACTCAGGTCCTCTGGAAGAGCAGCCAGTGCTCTTAACCACTGAGTCAGATTTTTATGGAAGTCTCCAAGCTAGGACCAACCTGCAAAGCTATATAAGGTACTGCAGTTTTCCTTGAACCCAGTAGCTGTTGGGTGATGTACTCTACCCACCAACAGAGAGTGAATGGGCTACCACCCGTAAGGTAGAATTGGCTGCCTCTATTTTTCACCTGACAATGTTGAGACACATGTGGGTAAGGAACTGGGCCATCGTCTATAGCTGGCAGGGGTCAGGGTCAGCGTTGAACTTGACCTTGACCTAAGACCTGTCCAGCACCCTCAGCATTGCTGCAGGCTCTTGTTAGCTGCTCAAGATGCAATTTGAGCCTGGGGTGCTCCACACACATGGTCATGATGGGGATCTTCAGCTGTAGCACAGGCGTCCTCTGGAGAATGCTCAGCGCCCCAGCGTCCCCAGCCGCATTCTTCCTGCTGGGCCTCAGGCCAGAGGCTGGGGCTTCCTCCTTCAAGCTGGCCTCTCACACCCTGCCTGGAGTGAGCCATGGAGGCCTCAAATACATAAAGTAAAACAGATGGCTTCTTTTGGCCTTGGTGGGGCCCCATGGTCAAGGAATGAGAAATGGGGTTATCTGTCCTGCAGACCTCTGTGACAAGGCGGAATGTGTCAGCCCTAATCCAGGTCTCGTGGTGGGCGGCTTTAATGAGTCCTGTGGAATGAGCTGTGTGGAGGCAGTGTAGGCAAAGGAGCCAGGCCCGAGGGGAACACAAGGCCCTTGGTCAAAATCAGCAGGCTCAGCCTGGGAGCCCAGAGCTACAGTGGGAGCCAGGGGCTGCTTAGTGCCCGGGGTACAGACAAATCCTAGCACTGTACTAAAGCTGTGTGACCCAGGGCACACAGTCTTCCTTTTCTGAGCCTTGGTTCCCACATAAGCAACAGGAGGTCACCATTCATGTCAAATCCTGGGTGACAGCAATCTAAGAAGTCTGTGGAGTGCTGCAGGCATGGAACACCATGTCTGGAACACCTGCCACTCATCACCATGAGCACCAGACCACTGGACTTGGCTTCCTTCTGCTCCCGGGCTGCGCTCCGGTCAGGTTTCTTGAGTCCCCTGGTCTCCTGAAGTACTGACCCAGAGCCCTGTTGGGACCCATGGGATCTGAGCCACCACTGCCGCATCTCCAGCACCGTAAGGAACAGCCACAGAACAGCCACAGTGTGCCCAGAGCCACAGTGCTCAGGAAATATGTGTGTCCCCAGGCACCAGGATGTGGTCTAGACTGGTAACCAGGCCAGCAACACTGTGGTCATACACTCTCCTGTCTGTTAACAGCTCACTCCACCACTATCGCCTGTGTCCTTGTGAGTCTCTCCACTCCCTGTGAAGGGATGCTCTGGACCATGTGACTTGAATACCACGACCCTTCAGACCCTTCTCACTTCCCCAGGATTTAAATCATTGGCTCACGGATGGTCACATAAGCCCCCAAAACCACTCCCACCCCCTCATCCCCCATCCTTCCCCCTTTAAGTTGCAGCACATTTGTAAGGTGTTCTGGAGTCTGCTTGGCAACTGCTTTTACCACGACTTTGAGGAAATCTGCTTGAGACTGAAGCTATGAGAGACTGAGGAAGGGGGGAGAGAAAGACTGGATCCCTGAGGGAATCATGAGATTTGGATCCAGCTGTTCCTGAAGCAGAAATTGCAGGGGCTCACCCAGCATGCATCCCCTAGGACTCATTCCTAGCTCCAGAGGTTGGCCTGCTTGAGCTGAAACACTGCTCTCAAGCCATTCCCCGGTAGCCATGACTATTCAAGAGAAAAAAAAAAGAACCTGTGCCCATCAGAGGGAAGTTTGGGACCTCAGCACACACATGGGGTTAGAGAGGCCTCGTCTCTGCATGTGAAGGACACACTGGCCATGGGGAAGTTGCTTACCACTGTTGAGCCCCAGGGTATCTTCACTTAGACTGATGGGGCAAGATCTTGTCACAACCCAGAGTCCCAGATGGTTGTGTGTGCCCACCGCCACTCCCTACCCTGTCCCGTTCACCACCCACATCCTGGCTTCTGAGTTGAAGCAATGAGTAAGCACCCTTGTTCCTGTCAGCATGGGTTCCCACCATTGACAAGCCAAAGGATCCTGACACGCTCCTTTGTGTACCCATCATGATTCAGACTCTGGTACCTGAAGGCCAAAGGTCACTTACCAGAAGGACCACCCATAGTCCCAGGAGTGAGGTCTCCAGTCTTCAGGGCCGAGGCTCACGGTGACCTGGAACACCTGTGTGTACATCATGTGCGCGACCATTCCCAGGAGGCCTGTGGAGGAGAGCAGGCATCAGGATTCAGGGAAGGATCTTGTCCCCATCTCAAGGACCCTCCAGACACTTGCCAGCTGTCTGGACAGTATTGGAAGAGTGCATGGACCCCATGGAAGGGACGTTATTGGGAGCAGAGGCTGGGAGGCAGTGAGGTGGTCCAGAGGATGGAGGGCAGCCCCGGGGAAGTTTAAGCAAAGCAAACAGATATAGGTTAGAAACTGATCCTGAAAGGGGCCACAGAGGTAAATATTTGAGGCTGAGGGCCATGCAGTCTCTGTTAAAACTATTTACTCATCCAACTGGCTGTGGCTGATGCTAACTAATGAGTTTCCCCAATAAAACATTTTCTTTACAAAGCAGACAATGGGCTGGTTTTAGCCTGTAGCCTTGTTTGCTGACACCTGTGTTAGAAAGACCCCGTGGCAGAAGTGGTCTCCAAAGTAATTTGCAAAGCTCACTGCAGAGCAACCGTTCTCAACCTGTGGGTTTCTGACCTAAGACCATCGGAAAACACAGATATTTACATTACAATTCATAGCAAAAACAAAATAACAGTGATGAAGTAGCAACAAAAATACTTTCATGGCTGGGGGTCACCACAACATGAAAGCCTGTATTGAAGTGTGGCAGCATTAGGAAGCCTGAGAACCGCTGCTGTAGTCATAAAAGCAACTTCACAGATGTCTTTTTAACAAACCAGTATTTTGAAAAGAATGAGATAATGTCTGAATCTTCTGTCCCCCATGGAATGTCCCCTCAGGTTCATGTTTGGACACTTGTCCCTGCTGCAGCTGGTGGTACTCTTATGGAAATGGTGGACACCGTAGGAAGTGGGGCCCAGCCGAAGGCGGTAGGTCATGGGGTGGATCCATTAATTATTCCTGCCCCTTGTCTTGCTCTCTGCCTCTTGGTCCACCATGATATGAGCAGCTGCTGCCATATTACCTGCTGCCAAGAATGAGCTGCCAGCCTGCCTCCCCCACCATGGTGGACTTAAGCCACAAAATAAATCCTTTTCCCTTCGGTTGCTTTGCCAGGCATTGCGGTTACAGTGACACAAAAGTGACCCATGACACAGGCGAATGTAGCTGGGGTAAATGTTCTGTGGACTGTTTAGCTCCGAGCGTGTGCAGTGTTGTGACATGGGGATAACTCACCAGTTGGAGAACTGTGAGCTTGAGGAATAACGGGATGGGCTCTTTTCTGACACACTTTTTCCTGTGTGGCTTTGGGCTAAGCACTTGATCTTTCTGAATCTCCAGTCTTTCCATCACCCTCAAGATGAGGATCGTGACAAGCATGGGGGATCTCAAGGGACCCCAGATAGGGCAGCCTTGGTATCTGATACCCACTAGGCACAAAATCATTATAGCCACTGGGATTATTACAAAACAGAGCACATCTCTTGGGGGGCGGGTTATAGACTGTCCTCTAAAGCCTCCTGTGTGACCAACCCTAAGATACAGACTCGGTCTTCAGCAGGGAGTGTCACGGAGCAAGGAGGTAGACACATGCAGTACAACAAAAGTTATATTTTATTATGCCAAGGTCATCATACAAGGTTCACATTCTAAGTCCCTAACTACTGTCCTAAGCCTATCTTTCCAAGGATGCTCACCTGGGCGATGTATCTTAGCTGAATGTCGGGTCAGTCTCCATCAAAAGTCTCTGATTTGAGGGTCAGAACCCTGGGGGAGACTCTCCAATAGCAGGGCTAACCAAGGTGGGGTCTACTCAGGTGTGCAGAGCAGAGCCTTGCTCTCGGTCTCTTATGTACTGTCCAGTGGGTGTCACGGGGTCTAGAACTAAGTCTGGTTATCTTGAATGAATGATGTCACTGAGTTCTGGTTATCAGGTGCAGCCTAGGTGTAGTGGGGATGCTGACTAAACTGTTTTTAGACAAGTCTAAACAGCAGTTTTTACTACACTCATTATGGGGAGACAGACCTGAGAAGAGGCAGAAAGGAGACCAACATTACAGCTCTCAGGTAACACCATCATGGAGGGAAGTCAATGCTGGAGTCCAGGGCAGGAACCTGGAGGCAGGAGCTAATGCAGAGCCCATGGACGAATGTTGCTTACTGGCTTGTTCCCCATGGCTTGCCCAGCCTTCTTTCTTATAGCTCCCAGGACCACCTGCCCAGGTGTGGTCCCTGCTACAGTAAGCTGGGCCCATACACATCAACCGTCAATCAATGAACTAACCTGCAGACTTGCCTGTAGGCCCATCAGACGGGGACACTTTATCAGTTGAGGCTCCCTCTTCCCAGATGACTCTAGCTTGTGTCAGGTTGATAAATACACAACCCAAAACACTAACCAGGACAAGACACCAACCAGATGCAGATTCTCTTGGGTTTTGTTGTATGGTTTGTTTTATTTTGTTCTGGTTTTTGTTGTTGTTGCTGGTCTAAGTTTTACCGTATAGATCAGGGTCAACTAGAATTTAACAGCCCTATCATCCTGCATTCCAAGGTCACCACCACGCCTAGCTTCCAGATACTCTTTTAAAAACTTTTCTTGGTGTGTGTGGTATACATGTGTATATATGCACATATGTGTTTAGATGTGCACACATGGGGACCAGAGGGCAATACTGGGCGTCTTCTTCTATTGCTCTCCACCTTATGGAGCGTGGAGTTCACCAGTTGCCAAGACTAGCAGGCCAGTGAACCCCACCCGGATCCTCCCTAGCAGTGGGAAGGCAGGGTACACCACCACACCCGGCTTTTTTTGTGATCTGCATCCGGATGCTCACTCTTGCCTGGCAGACACTTTACTAACAACCATCCTCCCAGGGCTCCAGACAGTCCTAACCAGGCCTCTTCCCATGCTGCCTAGACTGCAGCTGCCCCTCCTCTCATTGCCTCTGCCACCATTTGCCCTGCTGCTAAAGAGAAGGCAAGAGAGAAGGTGGTGATAAGAGAAGAAATGGTGGTTGTTGGGGAAGTCCTGTGTATTTGTCAATAAAGCACTGTTGGCCAATAGTGAACTAAGATAGGTGGGACTAGGAGTCGAGGAGGACTCTGGGTAGGAGAAACACAAAGAGTCAAGATGTAACGCCATGGGGTAGGAAACCCAGAACTATTCTCCGGTAAGAGAAATACTTAGATTAACAATTACGGGGTAATTACTTGAGTCAGAGCTAGCCAGTAAGAAACAAGCAAGGCCAACAGCTTCATAATTAATATAACCTCCTGTGTGTTTATTTGGGACTGATGCGGCTCTAGAACCAGGCTGGCAGGAAGGCTTCTCTCAAGGAAAAAGTTTCCCTTTACAGGTGGTGATGGCAGATGAAGTAAAGGGGGACAAGGAGATGGGAGAGGAGAGGATGCCTCATGCTTCACCTGGCACCTCTAAAAGGACAGAGGGCAGAAAGGGAGGGAAAGTTCTATTTGTGTCATTTACCAACTCCCACAGCCAACCTTGGGCTACCAAGGTGACGTCCCCAGAGTGGAGCAGAAGAGAAGAGAGCACTGTGACCTTGTGAGCTGAGCCACAGCCCTTACCCCAGCCTTCCACATGGGACTCCAGGGTTCTGAGACAGAGGATTCCAGGTTGTTTTCAGTCTTGGGCCAATGACAGGTGCTGAGTCCCATTAGGGGCTTCCTGCAACGCTCCTCCCAGGCCTTAGCAAGGCTTGATGCTATAAAATGATAAAGATCTAACTGTCCCATGGCCAGACTGTGTGCTATTGTCCCTTAATGCCACTGAACTGTGTGTTGTTATGTTTATTAACTGTTCCTGCTTCCTACCCTTTGAGTATACGTGGCCATACCCTTCCTCAGTCTTGTGTGTGTGGTAGGTAGGGTGTAGAATGTGTAGTATATGAGTCTATGTGGGGTGTGTGTGTGTGTGTGGTGTCTGTGTGCCTGTGTATGTAGTGTGTGGTACATGTGTGTATGTATGTGTTGTGGGTATGTATATGTGGTATGTGTGGTGTATGTGTGTGTGGTGTGTATACTATGTATATGTGTGTGGTGTGGAATGTGTATGCATGTGTTGTGGGTATGTGCATGCAGTATGTGGTGTATGTGTGTGTGGTGTGTGTACTATGTGGTGTGTGTGTGTAGTCTGTGTAATGTGTGGTGTGTGGGCACACATGTCAGCAGGTTCTTCTGGAGGTTGAGGATGGTTTACCACTCTCTACCTTAGTCCTGTTGAGACATGGTCTGTTATCTGTTATTGAACTAGGAGATGAGCTGGTGGCTGCAAGTCCCAGCAATTTTCCTGTGTCTGTCCCCCCACAGAACTGGCTACAGGCATGCACAGCACCGTGCACAGCCTTACACATGGGTTCTGGACTACAGAGCTCCAGTCCTTGTCCTGGCTCAGCAGGTACTCTGCTCACCCTCACATTTCTCCAGCCTAGCCATGGTTATTTCTAAATCTATCTCCTGAGGAACTGGGGGAATTGCTCAGTGGATCAAATTCCTGTTATGCTAGCGCATTCAGGTCCCACATAAAGCTAGGCATGGCGGGTATGGGAGGGGAGAGACCATCCCTGAAACTCATTGGTCAGCTGGCCTAGCTGTTCAGTGAGAGACCTGCCTCAAAAAGGAAAGGTGGAGACCAATAGAGGAAGACACAGACATCGACCTTGGATTTACATGTTATGTTCATACATGTAAATACCCCACATGAACATATACATTTGACATACACACACTGTACTCACCACACACACACACACAAATACACCATCTCTCTATGGCTTGTAGAGGTTCTTTATGTACCCAGGCTACTAATCTTGGCTGCTGCACGGATGGCAAAGCTGCTTGCCTCCTCTGCACACTTCTTTCTTTTTCAGTGATAGGTTTTGTTTTTCAGAGAAGTTTGATTGGCAGGCACAGAGTGCTCATATACCCCCCACCCCTGTTCAGAAGTCAGTTTCTTTTCTCCTATGGAGGAGTCAAAGTCTGATCATCACTTTTCTCTAAAACTCATGGTGAATACATATTATATTTATCTTTCTGGGTCTACATGAATCCACATAGG